TTAATATAAAATGTTTTTAAAGCTTAGATGTTATTTATAATACAGTATATGATTTTCATACCAAATTATATGAATTATTGAAATATTTTTATTTTATAAAATTCGTATGTATTCTCATTAAGAATTTATACAGTGCCTGAATTAAACGCAAATATAATGTTTTTTAATATTCTTTTTCTAGGCTAACACAATAATATTTTTTCGGAGTATTTCAAGCTTAATGAAAAATTAATGAAATTGTTATTAATAACTCATTGCGATGTCTTGCACCATTGTTTAATGAGTGGAAAATTGAATTTTGGAAGATTTTGTAAAGGAAATAATGAAATTGAGTACAAATTTGGGGATAAATGGATAAACATATACTTCTAAAACGTAGATTAAAGAAGATTTCAGAAAATTGCTCTATATCATAGGATAAAAAAGCCATCAGATAAAAGAGTAACTTGTGGTTATTTTCTTTTACTACTACTACACCACACAACATTACTGTGTCTAGAGTTGAATTGCCCCTATACAGTTTGGGAATGATTTGGATGAAATTGAATGGTTATATTATTAAAATTATGTTTTTAAATTAAAATAACTGTAATAATAAGTTGTAATAATATCATTTCTTATTAAATTATTATTTATATTTTAAGTTAAAATTTAAATTAAATAAAATAATTATAAATCATATTTATAAACTAAAATGTTGAATTAAATAAAATAATTATACATTAATTTATAAATTAAATTTTTAATTAAATTTAAAAAAAAATAAAATATTTAATTAAATTTATAAATATAAATTAAAATTGAATAACATAATTATGAATTAAATTTATAAATTAAAAATTTTAAATCAAACTAGATTTAAATAAGATAATTATAAATTGAATTTTAAATTAAATTATATAATTTAATTTAAAATATTAAAAATTTAAATTGAAATTATTAATAAATTTTAAATTGTAATAATAAATTTTTTTTAAATAAAAATTATGTTTTGTTAAGAATACGTTTGTCTTAAAAAAATAAAAAATAATCAGCCTCTATTCCTTTTTTAGTACACTATCTTTTGTTTCAATAGCAGGAAGAATCTAACTTTCCTTATTAACTTAATGCCTTCAGAATATTTAGCTTTGTTAAAAAAGGACAAAAACCTGCCAAACAAAGAACTTGCATCTTTTCATCTGCATAGTTGTGAAAAGAGACCCTTTACCTTTGTATCAAAATAGAAATGCGGAAAAGTGAAGAACTGCGGATTCTTTCCAAAAGGTTAAGCGAAAAGCAATCAACTTTGATGAATTCATTGCCTTTTTCCAGGCGTCTGGATTCTTTCCAAATTGCACCAATTGTAAGCTAAGAAATCACGCGAAGGCTTTCAGGTGATATAATCGTGACAGATGTCTCCCTGTAATTTTGCGTGTGAAGGCCACGTGTAGTGAATAGGATATCACACTTTAAAAGTAGCATAACTTTTCTATGCATGCATAATGTTTAAGAAAAGAATACAGAAAAGATCAACACGTTTTTTGTTGGCAAGGAATTAAATTTTTAACAAGTTTTCGCTGGCCTCGTTAAGTGGCAATGAATATGTTCCATGAATATTTTGCCAAAATTCCTAATTTAATTTTGTCTACAATTTTTGAATTATTTACTTTTGTTGCTAAGGCAACACTATAAACAGTTGCAAAATTTATCTCAAAAATTGCCTTTATAAACAATAAAAATGGGAACAATTTTATTCATTATGAAATATTAATATAAAAAGTTTTTAAAGGTTAGAAGTTATTTATAATACATTATATGATGTTCGTACCAAATTATGTGAATTATTGAAATATTTTTATTTTGTAATATCATATTTATTCTCATAAGAGTTAAGAATTTTGCAGTACCTAAAATAAAACCAAATATAAGGCTTTTTTAAAAATTCTTCTTCTAATCTAATACAATAATATTTTTCAGAGTATTTCAAGCTTAATAAAAATTAATGAAATCGGTATTAATAATTCATTGCGATGTCAGTTACACCGTTGTTTAGTGAATGGAAAATGTAATTAGGGGATATTCTTTAAAGGAAATTATGAAATCGAATACCAATTTGGGAATTTATGGATTAATATATACTTCTAAAACGTAGATTAAAGAAGACTTTAGAAAATTGCTCTATATCATGATAAAAAAAGCCATCAGATCAAAGCTTATTCTGTGGTTGTCTCCTACAACTATTACTGCACCACACCAAATCACTATGTCTACAGCTGAAATGCCCCAATACAATTTGGGAATGATGTTTATGAATTTGAATGGACACACGTCGGAAGTGTAAAAAAAATTAGCAAAAATATTAATGCATTAATTGCACTTATTATTGCAATGAATTTTTAAAAATGTATTATTAATGCATTTATTTTAACTTAATAATGAATTTCTTAAAATGTATTATTAAGGCATTAATTGCACTTATTAATGAATTTTTTTAATGGAACTTAAATTTTAAACATTGAAAATTACTTTACACTTACTTTATTATTACTATTTAAGTACCCTCCAAAAAACTATAATTTACGAGCCATACATTTTGCACAGAAAAGTTAAAGAACAGCTATAACATTTCTAATATTAACTTTATACTTATATAACTGTTATAAAATATTGTATTATAGCTTTATATTATTCAAGAATTGCTTTATTTACTTAATATACAAGACACCTATAATAAAAAGCATACATAAAACTCAACTGATTTTATTAGATCTGTAAAATATTGAATAATAATATGAAGAGTATTAGTTAAATATTATGAAAAATATTTCCAATGGATATGAATGTAGACTTCTTTATTGCTTCTATATTTATGTAAAATATATAAATATGTTATAAAAATGCATGAGAACAATTTTATGAAGGAAACAGGAGTACAATAGTATATAATGCAAGATTAATATTTATAAGCGTTCTATAACGTGTTTTCTTTTCTATATATAGAATAATATACGTCATTTACGAAACTATTCTTTACTAATTCAGTCTCACTATTAAAGCAGAGCTCATAATTTATGCATCTATTCGTGTTACAGTATTGAATGATGTGTAGAATTAGAATTAGTGTAATGCAAAGTTTTGTCTTTTTTACGTTGAATAAATTATTTGAGTGATATCGCATTTTTGTATTATTAATGACATTTGTCGTCGTAAAAAAAAAGCTTTCTAAATAAATTTTTATAGATTTTATTGAAGTACAGAAGACTAATAGGTAAGAAATAAATACTTGGATTGTGGTAAAATCGTAAGCCATATATATTTTTGAAACTGTTTTTTAAAATATTTCGATTAGTTGTGTGATATTACAAAAGGATGTTCGCTGGAAGTAGTAGCCCACAAATAATGTTTTTTTTGTTAAATTTCATTGTAAAGTATTAAACGAATTTATTTAATAATTTTAAAAATTAGTTGTATGGATTTTGACTTTTTAGATATCTTTTGACAAATATCTATTTTTTAAATGGTTTTGATTTAACCGTATACCTCAAACTGTCAATAGATAGACGGAAAAGCAAGAAATTTTTTTCTGGAAGGAATTTTATTTGTAACTGCCCCACATTTGAATGCCCTAGGGAGAAAACTCGGGAAATCACCAGACAGCTTAACTGTCAACTCTGTAGACGCTTATACAAAATATAGCCATCCAATATCTTCGTTTCTGGGCCTGAAGGGCCGAGTGGCTAGCGCTCTGGCGCTCGGTAGCACAGGTTTCGGGTTCGAATCCCGGCGGTGCCATGGATGGATGTGTGTAGTGGTTTGGAATCCACTTTAAACCGTAGGTCCCGGACTAATAGGATCGTACAGCGTTGCGGGGGCGTTGTTACTCAGCATCCGTGGCTTATCTTTAAGTTACACGCCCCCTTGGTAATGTACAGCGAGTAACGTTTGTGCAGCGCTTCCCTTAAAGCATCCAAGACCAAGGTGTCCAGCGGCTTTAGAATGAAAAAATTTCTTCTTTTCTGAAGCTGTGAGAACAACGGTTTTGATCATCGTATTCAGGACTGAACCCTGCACAATTAGGGACTCAGTGGTAAAGTGAGCTGCTGGTGAGCGTTAGGGCTTAGGTTAAATCCGCTGGCAGAATTCTTGTAAACACTGTATCAAAAACGAGGAGACTCGATGGCGTTTGTGATGTTCGGCATCTTTCCTCTTTAGCCAGGTTACCTGGTTGGAATTTCCCGTGATTTCACCTATACGATACTTATATGCGTTGTAGTTCTCCTTAAAAGTCCTTCCGGAAAGCACTGCCCTCCTTCTTCTGCGACTTGGAGCCAAGTCAGTCTTCTACCTTAGGGTGCTCCATCACAATAGATGTTGCGCCCTTTCCTTTCATCCATGAGTAGACTACTCATGGGGTGTCCATACCGCGCTTCTGGACACTGAGGATTAGTCACAACAACACTATCATTTTGAGCCTCATGCATCTCCGCATGTTAAAAGTGTACCATGATTCATGCGTAACAACATATTTTAATGCATAAATGTTTTCTATGCTATTAGAAATATTGAAAAATATTTCCATTCAAATAAATTTTCAAAATTTGTATCAGAGATTTTCTATAGTTATGTGGATTTTCCATAATACATCCAGATACATTGTTTTTTTGTTAAAGTTATCTTAATCTACTTCTTTTACTCTATGCACAAAACTTAGTACCTTTGCAGCAAAAAGAGTTGTTGTTGTTTCTTATCCCACTTGGCCGGCCAAGCCCACGAGTCCATACGTACTCATGATTGAAGGGGAAGGAAGCAGCCTCTGTTGTGATGGAGCACTTGTAGGTAGAAGTCTGACTTTGGCTCCGTGACGCTCTTACAGTCATAGGAGACCGGGACCTACCGCTTAAAAGTGGATTCCGAATCACTACAAACATCCATGGCAACGCCGGGATTCGAACCCAAAACCTGTGGCACCGAGCGCCAGAGCGCTAAACACTCGGCCATTCAGGTCCCAAATTTGTGAATGACAACGGCACGCGGTGTTCCCAGGTGTCACCCACCCAAGAACTGACCGCGCCCAATGATGCTTTTGACTTCGGTGATCTAACGAGAGCCGGTATATTCAGCATGGTATGGCCGTTGGCTGGAGAGTAATTAATAGATACATACAAAAGAGTAATTAACATGATACATGGCTTTCATTGACGCATCAATTTTCAAAGATATACAGAATATACAGAGATGCAGCAATTCAGAATATTCAGAGATATAAAAATTCAGAATATACATAGATATAACAATTCAAAATGTACAGAGATGTAAAGCAATTTTGCATTATTCATTTGCAGTGGATATTTTAATCCATTTCTTTTTATCTTAATCAATAGTCTTTTCCCTGAATCAATTTCTTAGCTTTTATAACTGAAAATACCTACTACCACACGTAATTGTCATCGTTATTTTCTAATATTTAGCATTAGGCTCGACGATATTCCTCTCTGAAAAAATAAACTATACTAAATTTAACATTACGAAGGGATGGCCTGAATGGCCGAATGGCTAGCGCTCCGGCACTCGGTACCCAGGTTTCGGGTTTCGAGTCCCGGCGGTGGCCATGGATGTTTGTAGTGGTTCGAATCCACTTTTAAACTGTAGGTCCCGGTCTATTAGGACTGTTGAGCGTAGGGCTGAACAACTCACGCCCAGTACATCCGTTGCGGGAACATTGTTACCCGGTGCTTATCTTCAAGTTACACGCGCCCCTGGGTAATGCAGAGTAAGTAACGTCTGTGCAGCGCTTGCCTTAAGGCATCCAAGACCAAGCTGTCTAAGTGTTTGCCAGCTGCATTAGAAAAAAAAAAAACATTACCAAGGGATGTTTGTAATAATCCTTTGAATGAAAACGTACCAGGGAAAGGCAGCACTTTAGTTTGCATTCTTTATTTTTTTCTGGGTAACAACAGAGATCTAAAGTTTCGTTATCTTCACAAATATATTCTAAAATGATAAGATTGTCTTTATTTAAATTTGTAGAGGAATGATCATAAGTTGCATTCACGCATAAAGCTATAAACTTTGAACTCAAAATTGATAGATCCTCTCCTTTCAAGGACGGGTTGATAGTTACATTAGACTTTTGGACATTGCACGTTCCTTTCAAGGACGGGTTGAACCGTACGTTAGATTTTGTCCTTTGCGTTTTGTTGGATTTTGAAAACAACATTGGGAGAGGACAAAGAGAAAAGGAGTGTACAGAGTCAGTGAAGAGTTCAAACAGTTCAGAGGGTACGACAGGGGAGAAGAAGGGTTCCAAAGGAGGTACGAAGGGTACAAAAAAAGCCTTAAAACGAACTGCCTTTTAATATAATTTTTGTAAAATACTTATTATATAATTTTGTTTCGTATATTATGTGTTGCAGTTGTGCAGTTCTGTCTTTGCAATTTTAATAAATATGACAGCAAAACGACTCTTATAATATTAAAGAAATAATTCAGTTCTACCCTGAAGCAATGCTCAATCCAGAGTATTGGATATGCGTGTGGCATATCTAGTACTAACTTTTACTGTTATATAAAATAAACTTTCTAAAAATTTTAATGACAATTTGCCTCAGTTAAATCTGACAGGAGAGTATTTCATAAATGCGATAAAATTGCTACATAAATATCACTAAGGATGTATGGGATATAGGATCCATTTATTGCACGACTGTTACGTTTTCTCGTCCGATATACTTTGGAAGCGATAATGGGAGGATATAGAGGAAGGGAGTGGGCGAGTCGAGTTAAACGTTCCAGGCAGTACCGGTGGGTACAAACACCCCTTAAACATACAAGATTTTAAAATGATTTTGTAAATATTTGTTATATAATTGTGTTTTGTGTGTTATGTGTTGCTGTTGTGCAACGCTATCTTGTAATTTTAAATAAATATGACAGCTCACAGTTTCATGATTATTTAAATAAATAATTTAGTTTCAACCATAAAAAGTAACACTGAATCACGACCAGACGCATATCCTGCTCTAACTTTGGTAGAAAAAATGTAATTTACCATACCACAAAAATTAATTTTTATGTCAAATTCGACAATGTTTAAAATGAAAGTAAAACTGATGTATATTAAAAATGAGTGTTTTTAAAACTTCGAATAAAACTTTTTACTTTAAAAAAGTGATATAATAAAAAAAATAAATACTTTTTTTAAATCTCAGTTGATTGAAAATGTGATATTTATCTCGTATTATTCAATAAATCCCAAATGAAAATTGTGAGTTATAAGAGCTATTGCTGAGTATTGTTGAAAAAGCAATTATGTTTAATTTTGCATTATTAATTAATTTTGCAAATTATGTTAAATTATCACTCATATAAATTTGTAGAAAAATCTCTTAAAAAGAAAAGACTGTTGATTTCCAGAAATGAATACTTCCGGAACGGAATCTTTTTTTAAAAATTCTCAAATTCTAATTTGTTTTCATCTATTTAAAGTACTGTTTGCTGTAATTTAATAAATATTTTCTTCATTAAAGTAATAAAATATTCATGTGGTCTCTAATATACATAAATAAATTATTAGATGAATCGAAAATAAAAGTGAAATGTTTTTATTACTAAAGGATTCTAAACAGTTGAATTTATTCTTCTGTTTTATTTATTTATTTTTCAATACTTTCAGTGAATTTAAATTTATTTTGAATATTTGATAAAGAGATAAAAGGGAGGGCTTATTTTTTCTTATTACAAAATATCGGAAGTAGTTATTAACGAAAAGAAAACGATAATAATTTAAAATTATTTCATTAAGGAACTGAAGTGAGTTAATGTGATTTTTCAAATACTGTATTGGAATCGTTGAAAATACTAAAATTTCTACATTAACCAAGGCAATTAAATTTGTAATATTTTTTTTTTTTATTTCTTGGAAACAGAAAAATATTTTAAACAGATATTCCTAAGACATTTTATAAAGTTTTTAAATATTTATAGAATTAATTTTTCTGTATTTTTAAGAAGAGTTCTTTTTCATCTTAAATTTTCAGAAAGTGCAAATAAAAAGTTTTATGTCAAAAATTTTATTAAAAATTTGGATCCATGTTTTTACTTTTTTTTTTTTTTTACATAAACTTTTATAGCTTCATATCAAGTTGAATTTTGCTTAGTTTGGCTATAGTGTTTCAAGAAGACTAATAAAAACTTTAGGATTAAAAAAAAAACTTTTTCAACTTTTACAAATTTTTACTATTCTGTCTGCTTTAGAAATATTCCTTTCTTTATTTTTAATGTAATTAAACATTTTTTGTTTGCAATAATTTTCCATTATAAAAGTTTTATATATAAAATTGTTAATCAATAACATATATTTCTCTTCAAAAAGGAGCTATATACACATAATTAAATTGATCTTTTCTCTACAAATTTAACTATTCTAATTAACTACAAATTAATTATTTTTCTACAAATTTATTATATTTTTTTCTTCAATTTTTCTTACTACACTGAAGTGACAAAGTCATGGGATACCTCTTAATATCGTGTCAGCCCTCCTTTCGCCCGGCGAAGTGCAGCAACTCGACGTGGCATGGACTCAACAAGTCGTTGGAAGTCTTCTGCAGGAATATTGAGCCATGCTGTCTCGATAGACGTCCATAATTGTGAAAGCGTTGATGGTGCAAGATTTTGGGCCCGAACAGCCCTCTCGATGATGTCCCCATAAATGCTCGATGGGATTCATGTCCGGGCGATCTAGGTGGCCAGATCATTCGTTGGAATTGTCAGAATGATCTTCAAACCAATCGTGAACAGTTGTGGCCCGGTGACATGGCGCATTGTCATCCATAAAAAATCTCATCGTTGT